TTGTGCTAAATGCTGCTGGAAACGAACACATCGATGACCTAGCACCTGTCTTTGAGATGCTTGTTGAAGCAGGCTGTAGCTAAGGCAGACATGTAAAGTCTTGTCACAGGAGGGGTAAGTCGGTTGCCACATGAATCACAGAGGAGGGAGAAATTGACTTTATACTGAAGAATTAGAAGCGTCATCCAGGCAAGAAGTGGCCGTGGTTGGGTAGGATTTCTCTACCTCTTCACTTGCTTTTTTCTTCCTTTCTTTCCCCTTTGCCCTCCCTTTCCTCTTATTCCTTTCTTCTTAAGCAGGCACTGACGCAGAACGAAACATATCTGCAGTCAAAGGGACACCCTTCCTTTAGGACAGCTTTAAGAAGTCTGGTGCAGCAGCCTCCGCCAATTCAAGGTGTCCTTTGATCGCTTGGCTGCTGCTTCCGTGAATATTGATTGTGCTCCAAGCAAGATGAAATCCTTCACAACGTCACTCTTTTCTCTGTTGACCATGATGTCACCTACTGGTCCAGGTGTGGGGCTTTCCGTTTTTCTGTACACTGAGTTGTAATCCATACTGTAGGTTGCACTACACCCTGGTAGTGTAAAATGACAACCGTGACACGTGCTCTGTGATGCCATGGTCTAAATCAGAAGCAAGTACTACGAGTCTTCCTCCTCAAGGCTGGCTATAATCTAACTCATCCCTGATCGAACCCCATCGGATTTGTCTATTTGCCTCCTCCAAACACCTGCTAAGCTCTCCCGTGGAGCCTTTGAATCCTCACAATCCTCATGCCGTTTGCTCAGCTGGGTCCGCTTTCTCCCACATCACTCTTTGCTAATATCCCGCTCTCCTCACTCCTGCAAGTTGGACTCCAGAGCCCATCTTTAAGACGGGGCCAGGGTACCTCACCTGATTTTTAATTGTGAAGGTCCTTTCAGTTTCCCTCCAGAAGGAGGAAGTGACCACCTGCGTCATCACACAGGACTGCCGCCTTCCCAGTTATTACGTCTTCGCTCAATAATTGGGCACCGAGAGTCTATGCATCCCTACGATTGCCTGCACGTGTTTGTTTATCTAAGAGGCATTTTTTGTGGGAATAGAGTTTGCAGAGGACACAGTGAGTGAACACCCCGTGATCCAGCACCCCAGGGCAAAGGTAACGTAACAGGAAGAGCAGGTTGAGGTGACCCGGGAGTAACAGAGTAATGGAGCTCTATTCTGGAGCTGACAGGCTTTTGCAGGGGCCAAGTAGCGAATACAAGGGACAATGCCTGGTAGCTGATGACCTTCATTTGCACACTTCATGGGATCTTCCCAGACACAGAGAGGATGAATGGATAGACGCCAAATCCTTTCCCTGTGCGATTAGGTGATCGCTTTAGATGCGTAGAGAAGCTAGCAGTGCAGGTCAGTCACCTAGGGTACCGAAGCCCGGAATTGATGGAGACACACTTCTTTCTACGTAGAAAGCTTCCATTCATCTATCTCTAAGCCACAGTATTTGCCGTTTTCACATATCTCATTTCCCCTCGTACACATGCTGGGCATGTTGTTTTGTACATTTGGGTGTGTTTCCTCTTAAAACGTCTTTGTGGGCAGGGCCAGATAGGGTGACAGCTTCACGGGGCTTAGCCTCAGTTGCATATTTCCACTCTCTGAACGAAAAATCTGGAAACAGCACAGGTGTTCGACTCCTCGGTCTCAACCGTCTTCACAGCTGCTCCTGTGAGGAGCAGAGCTGCAGGTGCCTGGGGCCAGCAGACAGAGCAGGTGGGGCAGGGCTCAGGCACTCTCCGACCGTGCGGTGACTGGGATTTCAAAAGTGACCATTGGACGATGTGGTCAGACACAAGAAGTTCATAGTTTGCAATGGAACGGATGCAAAAATCAGGGGTGTGTTCCCCTTGTATGCTCTGGAGTGAAGGTTAGAGACCAAGCCAACATGATCTACTTTAAGACCAGTCCTGCCCGTCCCCCACCCCAACCCCATAACCCTCAGGCTCCCAAGCCCTGCTTGCTCCAGTTCCTGTCAGCAGAGCCTCTCCACTGTCTGCTGTCCTCTCCCTGGCGGGGTCTGTCTTATCCATGCCCCAGCCAGGCCCTGCCTTTAGAACTGTCCTTTCTCCTGGCCCTGCCCACTCAGCCTTCCTTCCCTCCCCCGTTTCATTCCTCGAGCAACCCAAGAACACTGAGAACTCGACCCCACGGTCAGCAGGGGAGATTGGAGATTAGAGTTATTCAGAGATAAGCTTCCAAGGACAATGACCAAAAATGACCAAATGCATTTGGGACACTATGCCACTAGGTCATCTGTAAAGCGGACATTAAGGAATAGAGAGATTTGACAGGGCTGTGAACGCTGCAAAGTGCGGTAACGCCCAGGACCTCATGGTGATGAAAATGATACGTATTTAAAAGCAGGATACAAGGACCAAGCAATCATTTTCTAAATGAACTCTTAATTACAAAAAAGGATCCTGCCTGTGGGGATGATTGCACAGTATGATGAAAGTTATTCATGCCCCGGAATTGGACCGTGGAAAATATGTTGAAATGGTCAACTTTGTGTCTTATGTATTTAACCCCAAACCCCAACTCTCTGCCATTGAATCAATTCCAACTCACACCTTGCCACTTAAAGGACAAGCTTGAACGGCCCCTGTGGGTTTCTGAGGCTACAGCTCTTTACTGGAGTAGAAAGCCTCATCTTTCTCCCGCTGAGCAGCTAGTGGTTTTGAACTGCTGACCTTGCAGTTAGCAACTCAATGCTTAACCACTGTATCACCACAGTAGTACTTGCTCATAATAGAGGGTTTCAAAGTACGTAAGTAGACAAAATTAAGGAACAGCTCCATGCCATCTTCTTAGAGAGTGTGGTATGTTTTATAATCTCTGCCCAGTCTGTGGAACCAGTGTCGGACTGGCTTTGTCACTCATGCAGAGCGCATTGGAAAGTGGATTATTGCAGGTGCATGTGGGTTAACATTTAACACCTTAACTTTTGATCCATTTAAAGTTTCGTCTAGTTTCTAATATTGCTTGCTTGCTTTTCACTTGAGGTTTTCCCTCTCTTTTACTTTATTATTATTGCTTGTTTTAAAAATGTTTTTCTGTATTTGAAATCCAGGATGGGCGGCTCCGCAGAGACAGTAACTAGATTAGTAGTATATCCTTGGGCTTGGTGGTGAACCCGGTGGGTCCTCGGGCTGCGACCCATGAGGTTGGCAATTCTAAGCCACCAGACTCTCCGCGGAAGAAAGACGGCTTTCTACTCCCACAGAGAGTTGCAGTCTCCTCGGTCCTGTTGGGGGTGGTTGGGGATGTTGGGGGGCCAGGGTTGGGTTGCTAATAACGATGTGACAATGATGAGTACGAGAATGAAGAAAAGGTTCTACACTGATTGTGGTGATAACTGGACAACTCTCTTGAGGTGACCGAGCTATTAGATTGTGTGATCTGTGAATTATATGCCAATGAAACTTAAACAAAAGAGCAGTATTGGCTGCACACATTGCCATGCGACAGTGAAGTGTGAGTGGAAAGGGCACAAGTCACTTCTGAGTAGAAACTTCCAGAGCTTTGGGGCAGTCTGCCACGTTGTTCTCCTCTTGCACGAGAGTGGTTTATCTCAGGGACTTTTTCTGTCATCCTCCGCTCTGGAACAAAGAGACCACTACATGAAGCCACGCAGCGGGAGTGTGAAATAGGCACTTATTGTGTAAGCCCTGGAGATCCGGGGGCTGTTTGCTACCGAAGCATAATTTGCCCTAAGATACCTGACACACGGAGAGACGATGGCCTGCCTTCCTTCCTCTAGATCTATTTTGTTTGTTCGTTTGCTTTTCTTTGTAAAAATAAGGTCATGATATACACATGATTTTATGAAGTTATTTCTCTTGTTTCTTTTGCAAATATGCTTGTATGAATTATAGAAAGGAATTGATGTATGTATGGATTGTGATAAGAGTTGTATGAGCCCCTACTAAAACGATTAAAAAAAAAGAAAGTAAATGTGTAGAAAATGATGATGGCAACATATGTAGAAATATGCTTGATACAATTGATGTATGGAATGTTAGGAGCTGAAAGAGCCCCCAATAAAAGGATTTAAACAACAACAACAAAAAGGAGCCCTGGTGGGGTAGTGGTTACACATAGGGCTGCGATCTGCATGGTTGGCAGTTTGAAACCAGCAGCAGCTCCGCGGGAGGAAGGCTGAGCTTTCTACTCCGGTAAACAGTTACCGTCTCAGAGCCCCTCAGGGGGTCGCAGTGAGTCAGCATTAACTCGAGGGCCGAGGGTTTTTGGGTTTGGTATTAAAAGTGGCAAAGCTTTTAAAAACATAACCACCACATCATCATATTTAAAATTAAGATCAATTGCTTAGAATGTCCATCTCAGAACTCAAATGTTATCCATATTATTCAAATATTAGTCATTGCAGAACTGTTGTGCACCTTTCAAGTTTAGTTGTTCAAATCAGAAGGCCAAGCAAAGTCCGTAGATTGAGGTGTATCGCAAGTGTCTTCCCCTTTAGCGTCTCCCCTCCTTTCTTGCTCTGTTTACTCCCTTGTAGTGTATTAGTTGAAGAAACGGGCTCACTTCTAATGTGGACACCCCACCGTCCAGACGGGTAGTGAATCTTCCACCTCGTGTCATTTCAAATGCTTCTTTGCCCTCTAGAAATTGTCCATTACATCGAGGCTTGATTCGGTTCAGTGAAGGGAGTCTTAGACCTACCACCTTAGGACCATTTTTGAGATAATTTAATATTCTTCTACAATCCATTTGTAAATAGCTACATAGCTGTCTATGTTGCATGATACAATACAGCATCCAGTTGTATTATACAATATTTAGGTAGTCTCCTGTGGTTAGAAAGTGGGTGGTTTATTAATATTTTCTGCTATTCTACACAACTCTCTACTATGCATCCTGTAGACTGATCGTTTTCTACTTTGCCCTCTCTCCCCACCCCAACCCCACCCCTGCGCCCCATTTTGTTTCCTTAGTTCCTGCGGATGGTGGACGCCTGTGCCAGCTTCCTCACGGAAGCCTTGAACCCTGAAAACTGTGTTGGCATCCTGAGGCTGGCAGACACCCACTCCTTGGACAGCCTGAAGAAGCAGGTTCAGAGTTACATCGTGCAAAACTTTGTGCAGATTCTGAACTCGGAGGAGATCCTTGAGCTTCCAGTGGACACGCTGCACCACATCTTGAAGAGCGACGACCTGTACGTGACCGATGAGGTGCAGGTGTTTGAGACCGTGCTGAGCTGGGTGCGACACAAGCCGTCTGAAAGGCTGTGCTTGCTCCCCTGCGTGCTGGAGCACGTGCGCTTGCCGCTGCTGGACCCCTGGTACTTTGTGGAGACCGTGGAAGCGGACCCTCTCATCAGGCAGTGCCCCGAGGCCTTCCCACTGCTCCAGGAAGCCAGGATGTACCACCTCTCTGGGAATGAGGTGAGTTGAAAAGGAGGGGTTCAAACAGGGACGTGTTTCATCAGGACCGGCAGGACTGTGTCACTCGGTGAGGTTGGTTCACACACGGTAATTTGAGTTCAGCCGTTCTCAAAAAAACCCAAACAAACCAGACTTATTGCCACGAGTCTCTGCTGACCCAGAGTGACCCTTTTAGGACAGTGTAGAACAGCCCCTGCGGGTTTGTTGGACTGTAACTCTTTACAGGAGGAGAAAACCTTGTCTGTCTCTTGGGTGGCTTTGAACTGTGGACCTTGCAGTTAGCAGCCCAACATGTAACCACTGCTCCACCAGGGCTCCTTCTATGAGACTTGGATCCCTGATCTGTACAATGGGGCCAGCTGCACATTCAGGCGGTTCTTGAGATCATTAGGAGAGACACAGAAATGGCTTTGCACCATGCTATGCTGGGTCCACCCTTCCTCTTCCTTGTGTAAGAGTGGGGGTGGGGAGGGGAGGGGTGACATGTGTACAAAAGGAATTGGCAGGGTGGAGGCTGCTTTTCTAGGGTGGCCAATTAGGGGAAACCTTGCGCTTCTGGGCTCTCTTTGACTTGTTTGAGACTCTCATTATGTTTGCGTCTTGAATTTCTGGAAATCCTTCACAACTCACCTCTCTGTCTCTCGTTGGGCCTCCCTCCAATTCATCCACCAGCTGGATGATGGTCTAAAGCACTCACCCTATCATCTCACTTTGGAGATGTCCCTCTTTCCCGGCTCCCCATCACTTTCTGTTAAACCCCGCCCTTCCAGTTAAGCACACAGAGCCTACCCTCTCCCCACTTCCTTGCCTCCTGCCTGATCATCTTACAGCATCTGCATCCCTTGTAGGCCCCCAGGCCAGGTGAGGTGCTGGCCAACTGCTGTTTCCTCTTCTTCGCCTAACTAACGCCTGTTCGGGTCAGGTTCACCTTCTCTAGAGAACCTCAGCACTCAAACGGCCCCCAAGTACCCCTCCTGCGAACCACGACCTCCTCATCTGTAACAATCTCTACTCTAGAAGCTTGTGATGTGGTGGGAAACTTGTCTTAGTGGATTTCTTTCTTTATCCCTTGAACGTGACAGAGTCCCTGGGGTATGTTTGTGTGTACATGTGTGTATGGATCACAAAAACCTAAAGCAAAACCATCTCACTGCCGTCGAGTCAGTTCTAGCTCACAGTGATCCTACAGTGACCCTATAGGACAGGGCAGAACTGCCCCTGCAGGTTTCTGAGATTTTAATACTTAAAAAAAAATCATTTTATTGGGGCTCACACAACTCTTATCACAATCCATACACCCATCCATTGTGTCAAGCACATTTGTACATTTGTTGCCATCATCATTCTTAAAACATTTGCTTTCTACTTGAGCTCTAGGCATTGGCTCCTCATTTCTTTCCCTCCTTCCCCCCACTCTCCCTCCCTTATGAACCCTTGA